ATGCTCATGGCCATGTCATCACTACGTCAGGCTTTACCTGGCTGCTCAGACTTTACCTGGCTGCCAGAGGACTCAGTTACGCATGCGCAAGCCCCCCTTTTAAAACAAGCACGCCAAGCATGCCCCCCTCTCTTACCCTCTCCCTCTTGCTCTTTCTCTCTGGCCTGCTCTCTCTGATCTCTCTCTCTCCCCTGCTTTTGGTTGGCCACCAACTACCCCCCCTTTCCTCCCCCTCTCTCAATAAACTCCATGTGGGCTCTGAGTCTCATGTTTGTGTTTCTTAGGCAATAGTTGTATCAAAAGAACAACACAGACTATGAACAACTAGACATCTTATGCCACCAAGTAAAACCTTCAGTGCCAGGACCTGGTTATACCTTGTTGAGTTGTTGGCTAACAGGGTCCTATAGACACTTCCAAACATAACAGACCGTTACCAATGGTATTGGTTACCCTCTACAACCTGATGATACAGCAGTATTGCTGAAGACACTTAGGCCATCAAACACAGAGATCAAGCTGATGCCCAGCTACAATCTCCATAACTACTAACTAGCATTCATGGTCCTGGAAGATACTTTACATGCTGCTTTAAAGAAAATTAGTCATCCATATCACCCCTCTACAAATCCTGAGAATTGAAGCAGCAACCTTCCTGTAAGATATAACAGCGCAATAATGGAATAAATGTTATCATAAAGAAACCACATTTTAAATTTTTAGTTTTAAGAACCCCTCCATGAGATAGAACCCATATATGACATTTCTAAAGTTGCCAAGAACTTGAGACCCGACTAGGTCATGGGGCCCAAAGGACCCTAGCAATCTTCTGCTAAAGTAACATAGCAATAAAATGACTGCTAATGACATATTGCTACACCCACAGATCAGTGCATCGCTCACACCCCATCAGATAATCTTCTGGCAGTCAATGGGAATTAACACAGACACTCATAATTGGACAATGTGTAGAGAGTGAGGGACTTGAAACACTCAGCCCTAAATGGGATGTCTATCAAATCCCTCTCCTCAAGACTCAGGAATCTATGCAAATAAGGTGGAAAATACGACTGTAAGAACAAGAGGCAGTGGGTGATTTCAAGGAGACAGTGTGTTCAAGACACAACAGGACTGGTGCGCATTATGAACTCAGAGAGACCGTGGATGCACATACAAGGCCTGTGCGAGTTCAAGCCAGACAAAATCCCAACACAGAGTAAAAGATTTGGATGCAAAGCCTCTCCCCAAACCAAGGAGACACTATTTGCAGTTGATATCTTCTGGTAAGGGGAAATCGGCTTTCTCCTACCAAGTATCACTGAGTGTATCAACAACACTCCAGAGCAGGACCCATGATCAGGAGTAATGGGCCAACACAAAACAGACTCCATATTTTTTGTGCACTCTTTGTTTTGGTTTGGTTTGGTTGATAATTTTTGTATTATTGGGTTTCTTATTTTGATGCTTGTTTGTTTGAGTGGTAGGTTGAGAGAGAGAGAGAGAGAGAGAGAGAGAGAGAGAGAGAGAGAGAGAGAGAGAGAGAGAGAGAGAGAACACGAAGTTGGGTAAGTAAGGAGAACCTGGAATGAGTTGGGGAAGAAGAAAGACTATAACCAAAATATATTGTATTTAAAAACAAAAAAGAAAGAAAGAAAGAGAGAAAGAAAGAAAGAAAGAAAGAAAGAAAGAAAGAAAGAAAGAAAAGGAAATACCTCAGAGGCTTGCCCATGGCCCAATGTGATTAGGTATTTTCTCAGCTGAAGTTCCCTGTTCTCAGATAAATCTAGGGTTATGTAAAGTTGACAAAAAAAAAAAAATAGTATAAGTAGTTAGCCTTTATTTTACTCTTGTTATTTATCTTATAACTTCATGTGGTGTTTTTAAAAACCTACTCCATACTGTGTGACTAAAATGGAAAGGAACTGAGGTTCACTGAAGCCTCCCTAATCCCTGCTGAGCTACTCAACACGCATCTCTGCCTCTCTCGGTTACTATAGGCAAATCATGGTCAGGTATATGAAGAGTAGATGAAATATAGCCTGTGATCTTCCTTCACTTCCATGCATGAGTATTTATTTCTTCAATGTGATGAGCAAATACTCCTGTGCTCAAGAAGTAATGACCAAAAGCAGCCTTGCTTTCAACCACCTGACACCTGTATTCAACTCTGCATGGTAATTGCTTAATGAAGATGCCTCTGGAGATACTGATATCAACATCTAATTAACCATGGAGACTCTTCTTTTCATGCCTGTTCATATCTTAGCAATCACTGTCATGTTTCAATATACACCTTGGAGTTAGCTGGTGTCAGTTTGATCCCAGAACGTACCGTCCACATATGTTAACTAGGTCAGTTTTTTTATAAGGTTGATATGGTGGTGGTGGTGGTCACAATAACCAAACAACACCCAACTATGTGCAAGCCATGTTCTAAGCTAACTTAATAATCACAATATTGAGTGATTTTAGTATTACAAAATCAAGCTACTAACCACCCTTTTCCTCAATGACAATACTACAAACTGAGGGTCATTATGGGACATACTTCATCTAACTATTAAGAAAAACATATTTAAGATATACAGATTTAAGGAAGTTCAAGCAGTACCTTGCATATAGGAAGTTCTGAGTAAATATAACTTAACAATGATGTATGCCAGGACACACACAATCCTAAAAATTGAGCACTGTACCACTCTTGTGTAACACCATACATAATGTAACACCCTCTATTTTGACTTTTACTGAAAAGTACAGAAAATATATTTCTTAAGCATGGACAATCCATTTAAATAGCAGGTAGTCTATGACCAAGTAACTTGATGAAGCATGAATGTTTCTCATCCATGTGTGAAGTATGTTGGTTTCACCACTAGTAACTTCATCATCAGGATAGAAATATGACAGTAGGATTTGTAAAAATATCGCTATATTATGTCAAAGGGAAAGTCAATTTTAAATTGCTCACAACCTATAAATCTAGTAAATTACTTTATGTGTGTGTGTGTGTGTGTGTGTGTGTGTGTATGTGTGCGTGCGTGTGTGTGTGTGTATACATATATTTTTTTCATGAATCTCTCACTGTGTGTTTCAATTGTTTTCTTCTCAGGAAAGACCCTTTGTTCTTTTCCTGCTGTATGGTCCTTTTCATGGAAGCAGTTTCAATTATTTACCCCACATCTCCTCGTGTGCAGGTCAGAACATTGGTGATGTCCTATGTTTCCTCTGAGAGACCAAGGTCAGAGACTGGCCCAGAAGTAACCCAAAGCCAGACTCCAGACACTATAATGACTACCCCTTTATTTTCGCCCAGTATGCCACTAAGAATATGTGTTTCTAGTCTTGTGAGGAAATAGACTTTAAAAGACTGTAATTGTATTTCTTTAGGAAATGTTGCCAACTTTTATATCTTTTTGGTCAAACTAGATTATAATATATATTTCATGGTTTATACACCAAGCATGGTAATAGGAATGATAAGACTCATAATTCCCACATAAGCTGGATGGCTCCAGATTTATAAGAGCTGGATGTATCAAAAGTAAGCCCTCTGTCACAGGCCTTCCCAATGAAGACAGACAGAACAACCCCAGGAACCAGAACCATCGGACTGTTGAGTAATCACACTGTTGAGCAAATAGCAAGGGGAAAAGACATGAGCATTAAGATCACTGTGTTCCAGAGGAGCTAAAGAGAAGGGCCATGCCCTCATCAGATCCTGTCTTTTGCTCTTCCATGACCTCTACATCACAATGTTTCAGAAAAATCAAAGTAAAGCTGCCAGTATGGTGAAGGGTCTTCAGAAGCAGCAGGCATATGCACACACAAATATTTTGTTCAGATCCTTACACTCTCTGGCCATAACCTCTCAGATACTAGACAGAATTAGTGAAATAATGAGTCAATGTTATACCACTTCTTTGTTGAGACTTGCATATTGGTTGCTTCAAATTAGAAAAGTCTGAGTTCATTGTTTAATCTAAATAAACTATTTTTTATCCTGTGTGACACTGAGTGTCACATTTAAATACCTTTAGGAATAGTGAACCACGACTACATGAAATAATTTCTCCTCTTTTTCCATAGAACTTGGGTTTAAGCCCTGCTCTCTATAGTAGAATGGATGACACTCCTCATTCTACTCAGGGGCTGGCAGGTTGCCCTCATGGATTATATAGATCACATTCCACTTTTCACTGCTCACAGATAGGAAGAAGACATCGATAGTGTCCTTCCAAGCATGTCTTATCAGATCCACAAGGATTACTTTTGAGATTTGTGGGATTCCAAGGTGAGTGGTGAGGAATTGTGCTCCACCTCATGCTGTGTAGCACAAACTGAAATGTTCCTTTCAAAACAAAGATGGGCACCTTAGGACCTGAAGAACAGATGAAGTGCACAAGGCTCTCAAAGTCACTGGACTTGCAAGACCTCTTGTCAAAGTTGTAAAGCAATACACAATTGCTAGGAAGAGCAGACTCTCCAACCTGCTGAGCCACAGACAATTTCTGCAGAAAGGTCCATGGATGGAGCTTGTATGAGTCCTTACCCATGCTGGGTGGGACTTTTCGGTAATACAGCCTTTGAGTCACCCACGTACTTGTAACCTCACTCATATTCCTGCAAGTAAATCCAATAATCTCACTTCCACTAAGAGACTTGGATGAAATCTTTGTCTGCCATCAATGAACTATGCGGGCTGAACAGAGGTTTGCACACATCTCCACACGAAAAGTCATACAACCCGATCATTATGTGGAATAATACCCTAAAATAAAATGATTAAAACACCACACACACACACAAATAACAATAACAATAATAATAATAGATGGTGGGGGTGGCTGCATGGGTCACCATGGGGATGGGACTGTTCCCTGGGATGTTGTGATGGGTTGACAGGTGCGTGACAGTGGGAGCTGCTCTCAGCACAAGCTTGTACGGCAAAGGCAAGAGTAACAGCAGCACTGTCCCACCAACAACCAGGCCAAGGAGAAGTTAGCACTCTACGTATATGAATATCTGATCCATATAGGAGCTCAGAAATCGGCCCAAACATTTTTATCAGAGATAAGATGGGGAAAAAAACACCAATTTGGGGGAGCCTCCAGGATTCTTACATTCTTGGTGGTGTGTATTTTGGGATCTCTACCGTGCAGCTCCAGAGAGACGGGAGACATGTGAACACTCAAAGCGAAGCAAAAGCCTTCCATGATTATAGTGCTGCATCAGCTCCCAGCCCCGTGCTAGGAAACACGCCCCCAGGAGATGGCATGCCAGTAGGTCCTGTGCCACCAGGGTTCTTTCAGCCTTTTATGTCACCTTGGTACCCTGGAGGCCCAAGGCCCCCACTGAGGATACCTAATCAGGCACTTGGAGGTATCCCAGGAAGTCAGCCATTACTCCCCAGTGGAATGGACCCAACACGACAACAAGGACATCCAAATATGGGTGGACCAATGCAGAGAATGACTCCTCCAAGAGGGATGGTGCCCTTAGGACCACAGAACTATGGAGGTGCAATGAGACCCCCACTGAATGCTTTAGGTGGCCCCGGAATGCCTGCAATGAACATGGGTCCAGGTGGTGGTAGACCTTGGCCAAATGCCAATTCAATACCATACTCTTCAGCATCTCCTGGGAATTATGTAGGTCCTCCAGGAGGTGGGGGGCCACCAGGAACACCCATCATGCCTAGTCCAGCAAATTCAACCAATTCTGGAGACAACATGTATACTTTAATGAATACAGTACCTCCTGGACCTAACAGACTAGCTGTGTTCTGTGACCAGAACATAGTTATCTATGACATCATTTCCCAAACCCACATGACTGTGAGCCTTCGTTTAGCCAAACCCTGGGAGAAGACTAGCCATGTTCTGTGACCAGAATACAGATATTAGAGAACTCATACAGAGAGAAAATTGACTTGTCTTTCTCACATTTACAAACTATGATAAGAGAAACATTTGAGTTGTCTGTTTCATTTCACAATCATCTCCTAGCATCAGCAACAAGAACTCAAAATGACAGGACAGAATCTCTGGTTTACTATTGTTCTGATTTATTCAATGCTGAAGCCCGAAAGAAGGTCAAACAACCATTCTGAGGTTTTGAGGTGTTCTGCCTCTCCAACCTGCCTGGTAGAGAATTCACCACGCTCTTGACTTAAGTTGTGTGCACATCATTGGCAAAGAAATACATATTTGGGAAATGTCTAAGCTAAGAATAAAAATCTCAACCATAAAATCAACCTCATGATAAGAGATTGGGGTGGGGAAGTAGAGAGGAGCAGACAAAAGGGAGGGAGGGAAGTGTTTATGTCTATACATACATACATATTTCTTTCTCTCAAAATTGAATCTGTGCTCTTAAACCTTCTATGTAAACAGATTTAATGCTTACAAAGTATTTCACATTACATGGTTATTTATCACCTATCCTCTAACAAATATTGTAGGTGGTTTTAAAATTCAAACTTCTCACGGTTTTTGCTATTCTGAATTAGCTGGAGGCATATCCTCAAGTGGCTTTAAAACTGCACTTCGTGCCCTAGAAATTAAATCATCTAACCCAATAATGTAAACATTAGGGAATGTTTGTTACATACTATACAGTCAAATTTCCTACTTTATAAATCTGGTGCAAGGAATCATGTGACCTGGGCAAAGGTACCCTCATGTTTTGATGCTGAGGAATCATGGTCAACCAAGAAGCATTAGGATACAAAATTAATTAGCTTCAAATACAGTTCAGTTCTGTTAACTTTTTATAAACCTAAACATTTTTGTAAATGTTATACCTCTCTTTTAAAGTGTGTGTGTGTGTGTGTGTGTGTGTGTGTGTGTGTGTGTGTGTGTGTGTGTGTGTGTGTGCAGATTCTGACAAAGGCTGGGAGAGGGTGCCAGGTCCCATGGAGTTGGAGTTGCAGATGGCAGTGAACTTCCCAACATAGGTTCTAGGGACCAGACGGGCATCCTCTGATAAAGCAGCTAACACTCTCACCTGGAAGCCATCTATCCAGTACTCTCTATACTCAGAGATTTGGTATATGGTACTAGTTTCTTCCCCCAAAGTGCTATAAATGTGCATCCTTCAGAACTCTGTGTGTGCACGCAAATGATTCTCTGTACTCACTCTTGAATGACTGGGTGTTTCTCTCAGGAGGGATGTGCTGTTAGAATGATAACTTCAGGAGAATTTCTGACTTTAAACACTGGAGCTGCCTGCACCCAACAGTGACTTGACATGGTGGCATTCCCACAGATCTGTCACACTTGCCACACCATTAGGCAAAGAGAAACCAAAGAAAGCATTCTGGTACACCTCATCCTTATACACATGCACAAATAGCTCAGAAATAAGAACTGAAAACATTACAGAAACATGAGACCTGGCGTTTAAATATTTTATCTCCTTTGAAGGAAAATTTCCCAGTCTAACTAAAACAAACTCTTTTCTTAATAGTGAGAAATATGGACACAGATAAACATGTAAATTTGGTTGTATGACTAAGAAAAATGTACATAATAAATATTTCAAATAATGTACATATAGATATTTCTGGTGACATCTCAAAAAATTCAAGCATCCACAGAAATACACTACTGCTGTAAATTACAGACAAATTTGTGATTATTTTTCACTAGTCCGAAAAAGCTTTAAAAGTAGAGGCATCTTACTTTCATTAGAATGAACAAAAATTCGTAAGGTGACATGATTTTCATCTCAGTTAAGATAATCACTTTTGAGTTGGGACGAAGTGGCAGCAGAGATGGGTGTGTCCTGCCATTGCTAATTACAGTGCCCATGCGGACCGTGGGTGATGTGGAAGCTGAGGGTGTTCGGAAAAGTGGGACAGCAGACAAGCTCAGAGGCGTTGGCTGCAGCCAGCTGCTGTTGCCATGGTGAAATTGTCCACCGGATCTTTCTGATTTTGTCATCTTGCATGAGGGGGGATTTTTTTTTTTTTTTTAAGCTCTGAGTTTTCAAAAGCTTCTCATTAATACTAAATTTGCTTAAACAATACGGAAGCCTTTCTGGAAACAGTGGCAGTTTAAGGTAGTCCTTTTATAATCCCTGATCAAATCCAATATATTGAAGGAGTCATGGTCTGCCTAAAGTCACATACTAGACCCTTGACATATTTAAGAGACATTCCCCCTCCTTAGAGGGGATGCATGTCACCCCAGGTGAGTTATTCTGTAAAATTCCAAAACAAGGACTTAACAGATATTTCTGGGGGTTGCAATGAGTCTGTGCTCTCGCTTACTTTTCCTCTTTCTCAGCAACTTGCTATTGGTTCGGTATAAACTCCATGCATCCGTCAAAGCCCTAACCTACACATTCATGTACCTCTTTATGCTTTTGTCTTTCCCCCAGAAGATACTACCACTGTGCTGTTTCACATGCCCTGCCCCCACCCCAGGCAAGATTAGCATGCCGATGCTATGTTCTGAGGAATTGCCTTTTGAAGCCTATGACAATCACCTGCATTCATTACTTTGCTGTTGCTGGTTAAAACACCACCATCAAGGCAACCTAGAGAAGGAGGGCTTGCAGCTCCAGAGGGATAAGAGTCTGGGATGGCAGTAAGCAGGTGGAACAAGATGCTGGGGTTCACACTTCAAACCACAAGTGTGAAGTAGAGAGAGCCAACTGGGGATGATGGGGTCTTTCAACTTAAAGGTCAACTGCAGTGTTTAACTCCTACAAAGCCACACCTGCTAAAACTACCCAACTGGAGATTTAAGTGTTCAAAAGCCTGCGAGAAGGGGACCATCTTATTCAAGCTACCAGATTCTCCATCCATAATCATAGCGACACTTTGAGATTCCTTAACTTGATTTCTGTTTTGTGGTGTTCAATCTCCTCAGATCACCTACAGCATCTTGTATAATTAAAGCCCCATCTTGTGTCCCCTACATCTGAATATACTACTAATCCTGTATTTTTTGGTTGTGAGCCTAGCCTTTAATGGTTGAGCTATCTCTCCAGCCAGTATTACTAATCCTAACAAATCAATTCTAACATATTACTGGGCTAAGTATTAAAGAAATTGTGATTCATTGGTTGACCACACCTCTTTCCCTGACAGGGATGGAGACATGGATCATCTACATTTTAAGGGCTTGTATAACAATGGAAAGTCATGAGTTTCCCCATGGTGAGATGTGAAGCAAAATAATCACTCTTATGAGAAACCTCAATCCAGATCTGGCTAGCCCAGAGTTGCCCTTGGCTGTTTATTGTCTCTGTAACCTCAATCATAACTACACTGGATTATCTCAAACAAGTTCAGTCTGCTGGGTGTGCCCCCAACCTGTCTCATCCTTATTCTGAATAAGATTCATCCTAATCACTTCTTTATGTTGGGGCAACATTTAGATCCTTGTCTGCTCAACCTTGAACCAGGGTGGCCTGAAAATGCTAGAGAGTCAGGGTCCCCAGGGGGGACTTCCAAGCTGTAATAGATGTCAGCCTCTGTCTTCAAATATGTCTACCTCATGTCTGTACTCAAACAAGCCTGGGATGCCTAGAAAGTTTTGTGTAAGTTCCAACTTCCATGAGCAAAGGCCTCTTCCCCTGACTCATCTACCCCTCCCCCTTGCTGTTGTTTCCAGTGTAACTTCCAAAATGCCCAAGTCCTCTGCAGTCTCTCCTGCAGAATCCACATGTTCTGACATGTTCGCTCTTTAGAGGGTGCTCCTGGAGGTAAGGAGCAGTGGGTGTTAGGGAGCACAACACCCAATCCAGGTCTCTCGACCAAGAGCTGTATGTACATCCTTGGACAAGTCAGTTACACTGCATTGTAAGTAGCTTGTTATGTGATTTACCACCAAGTTCCGTAACTGCCTTGATCCAAATGAACATTCAAAGACTTATATTAATTATAATACTGTTGGCAGGTGGCTTGGGTTTCTTTTTGGCTGGCTCTGTCTTAATTATTAACCCATTTCTATCAATCTATGTATTGCCACTAGGCTGTGGCTAACCCAGTAATGCCCAGCATGGTGTTACTCCTCCAGCAGCATTGCTACTTGGTCAGGCTTCTGCCTACCTTTCCCAGAATTCTCCTCATCTCTTAGGCCCGCCTATCTTCCTGCCTGGCCAATCAGTGTTTTATTCATCAACCAATAAGAGAAACATATTCAGAATATCATCTTCCATCAGTGGCTTTCATAGTTGTGAAATTCAGAGTTGAGAGCTCAGTTTATTCTAGCCAACATATTCTTTAATTTGAAAACATCCTCCCCCACTTCAGAAATGACAAAACAGAATTAGCAAAATTCTACAATATCTCAACTGTTGGAAGATCATTTTAACTCTACAGTAATAAAAAATGAAATGAAAGCCTTCACATTATTCACATGGTCAGAGGAGGTTCCCATTTCAATCCAGTTTCTAAACAGCCGAAATCGGTAGATTGCGTACATTTAGTGCCAAACAGGATGATGTTGACAACCTTGATTTTGGGCTAATAAGGAACATATGTATGAGGGCTTTTCCTAAACATTCATCATGAGCTGCAAACTTGCTTTTTCCTCTAAGGTAAGAACTGTGCTCATTTGTAGCTTCCTTTATTTTTAATTAGAACTGCATAGCAAATAATTAGATTCATTTTCAGTATCAGTGTAAATTCAAGGGAAGAGTTAAAGGGGTGGAGAGATGCAATGACCAAGAGGTGCTGTTTACACATATGAAATTCTCAAAGAATAAATTTTGTTTAATATAAATGTGTTATTGGTTCAGGAAAATCATCCATTTTGATCTATGATAACTACAAAACTACAAATCAAGTCACAAGTTTAAGCTGCACTCTAGCATGTTTTGAGTCTTAAGTGATATTTTTTTAAAAATTGCTTACAAATTTTGAAAGGCAGAA